GATCACATCGAAATGAAGATTTGATTCTTTTTTTTTTTAAGGTACGTAGATAGACTCTTAAAAAGAAAAATGTCAATAAAAGTTGAGACGAAACAGTTTGGTAATATTACCTAATATACTCTTAATTTTTTTTTTTAAATCCTATATTTTACACTGAACATTAAAAAAATTGTCTATATTATAAAATTAACAAAACAATGATCAATCTACATCCCTACTAGAAACTTTACATCTTGTTCCAGCCACAAAAAGTGTAAACCTCGTTTAAAAAATTATTCAAACGAAATTTTCCAATCTAAGACATAAAATTGTAACTTTGTAATTCCTTAAAGAGGTTAATTCCGTATGTAAAAGGGAAAATCCAAAACACACGTATGTATATAATAAGAGGGTGGGTACAATAGCACGAAGCAGAATCATCGGAGATGGTCGTTCACAATCTTTCATAAACATCATGGTGCTTAATTTATGTATATTTAGTTTGATACATTGAACATTTCTAAGATAGTACCTTAACACACTACAAAAAAGGGGTCAAATTGTATCACTTAAATATTGACATTGGTTACAACAAAAGATGTAAATATTTTACATATTTGTGTCGATTACTTATTAACTGATGAGAAATATTTGCATCAACATTTTTAATCGCTTTTTAAAGTGATGCAAAATGCATTTACATAATTTATAAGTAATGCAAATTTTCAAAATAAATGATACAATTCAACTTTTTTTTTGTAGTGACAACAACACAAAAAAACATCATCCTAGATAGTGTATTACAATTTAGTATAATTAAAAACGATTGAGGCCACGTACGAAAGCTCAAGTTATGAATTAAATTGGTAAAAAACATACTCACCATTAAACGAAGGATCCCGCCATTGGTCTAGCCCATGAGCTTTTCTTATATCATGCGATACGTTCTTGTTTACAGTCATATAAGCCGATGTAAGGAAATGAAGAGGCTCATTTGCAAACTCTGATGGTGATGATGTTTTCTTTTTCCCAACCAATAGACTTCTAAGTGGGTTTCTAGTCGCGGTTCTCTCGATTTCGCTCAATCCGATCTTAGAGATGAATGTTTTGTTCTTGAAATAACCAATGTATTCTAAGCAGATTGGATCTGCTGGGTTCACATATAAATAAGGTGTCCACCGTACTATATTCATCGGTAGATCATCTTCTTGAACCTATAATAACAAAACTAGCAAAATTAGATTATTGTTTTGAATAGTTGACGCCGTGACAAAAAAAAGAAAAAGAAAATAGTTGAAGCCTTGAGTGACCAATATGGAAATGAAGTTGATAAATCGAGTTTTCAACTAATGGACCACCATTAATTAAACCAACAATTTGGATAGAGCAAAACTTTCAATTTCTTTATAAATATATTTTTATTATTTACCTTAAAGATCTTGGCTACAACGGCTTTTAAGAGACTCCCGCCGAATCGAATTCCACCTTTTAGCATTTTGCACTTGATTAGCGTCTCAAGAGGGATAGACGATATGGGCGGGTTGAAAATGTAAGCCTCGAGGAAGAATCCGAACCTTGCCATGGTCTTTCCGGCCAGCACTGCCAGGCCAGCTCCCAGAGAGTGTCCAGCCAGCCAAACAGATGTGTCCCTATATTTGACTACCATATTATGTATTGCTTGCATTGCGTGCTCAAACTTGGGGCTGTGATGGAGGTTGTCGAAGATGCAGCGGAGATCATGTCTCGCATCAGAGAACCAAGTTTGTGATGTTAGGATTGTGCCGCGGAACGCGATCACGTAACGTGGAGGTACTCTCAAACTAGAGAAATTTTGGTAGTTGTAGGAGAAGTTGTATTCGAAAATGGCACCGTATATGGAACTATCGGATCCTTCCATCAAGGTTTCGAGTAAAGTGAAGTGGGAATCTTCCCACCAGCGCTTGGCTTGTGCCTCGGCACCTACTCGTTTCCTTTGCCTATCCATTTCCATTGAGTACACTCCTTGTACCAAACATGATGCCACTGAGGTTCGATGGTGCGAATTGTTCCTATTAAAATGGTTAATTGCAAATTAGTACAAATGGAAAATTAAATTAAGAGAATAAGCAACTTGGATATTGATCACCGTTTGTTATTTCAATAAAATTAGATGATCATCAACGCCATGCCCGATGATTAAAATGTTTAAATACATTAAATCAAAACCATAAAATATAAAGAAATCACATCAAATATATTTTAGTTAAAATACTTCAATTTTTATGCGTTTCAAGAATTACTATGAGTTTTGGTTTAGAAGACCTTAGTCATTAAAAAAATTTCCATCAACTAGCATAATTTTTTTTTCAAAATGCATTTGTCCTAATCATATTTCTAACCCGAAATCTAGATGAATCCCTACATCTGTAATTTTTAAAAATATTTTTGCTATTGAAAACCTCAACGGATGACTAAACAGAAAGGTGAAACAATTTCATGGTAAAAGAATTCATGTTTTGGCCTTGATCAACATGACAAATCTTTTATCAAAGCGAGACCATTTATTCACTACTACTTATTTATGTTTTTACTGTTTTTTGGTTATTAACTTTTTAAACATTCTATAATTCGTTTTACATCTGTTCTACAAACTCGGTTTTCCCTCCGTTTATTATGTCCAGTTAAGCTATTATATCACAAATCAAAATTTCCATATTTTTTTTTGTTAATTTAATAAGAAATTTATTAAATAAAATGAAAGTGGCCATCGCTAGCTAATTTTTTAAAAAGTGAAGTAGGCAAAGCAAATGTACTTGGTGTGCTATATTTAGAAGAAAACGAAACTTAAGGAACAAATGCAGCGAATTGTTTGTTTACAAGAAAAGAAAACAACACAAGAAATGGTGAAAATAGAGATGAGAAACAAAATACCCTTTTCTATTGTTTGCAAGTCAACCAGAATCGAATTTAATCAAATCTGTTCAAGGTAAACTAAAGAGTTGTTGCCGTGATGAGACAAAGCCACTTACTATTATTATTTTGAAAGAAAACAAAAGAATTATTTTGGCCACAGATGAGACAAAGCCACTTACTATTTATAAATGTAGAAAAAAAAAGAAGACTTTTGGATCCAACGACATTTCGAGACCATTTTTTTACACTGACACTAGCCTGACCGCTTCTAATCTACAGACAAATTGTCTACAAATTGGCAATTAAAACATTTTAATAAGTGGTTGACAAAAAAGAGAGATAATAATTAATAACTATAAGTCGTGTGAATTGGTACGTATTTTGGATCATTGGATGGAATCATCTCTAGAGCGTTTACCTCTATTCCGGTTTCTCAGATTAATATATATGATGTTAAAATCTCCACACAAATCACAGTTTTTTTCAAGTGGTGGTTTATTCCGTATACAACTTAACTTGTAATATTTGTTAATCCACCACTTTTCACATCTAATCTAACTAAATATTTTTGTATACGGTTATATTCAGTAGTTAAAAAGGCGCTATAAATTTAAGGATTATCTTATTATGTAGACTTGCGAATCATACCAGAATTCGCTCAACTCAAACGATATAAGTAGTATGGAATAAAAAAAAATGAAAAATAGAGCGAGATAAAAAAATTGAGACAAAGCATCTTACTATCTATAAATGTAGAAAACAAGAAGACTTTTGGATCCAACGACATTTCGAGACCATTTTTTTACACTCACACTAGCCTGACCGCTTCTAATCTACAGACAAATTGGCAATTAAAACATTTTAATAAGTGGTTGACAAAAGAGAGAGATAATAAGAGCATGATCAATGATGGGTGTTAGTGGATTTTTAATGGGTTATTAAGGATTAAAAACAATTAAATAATCTTAGCATCCCAACTTGGAGTTGCTAATTTTAGCATTTTAACACCTCAAAAATGGAGTTGCTAAGGGTGAAAAACAATTAAATAATCTTAGCACTCCAAATTTAGCAACTAAGGTTGATTATGCTCTAATAACTAGTAAGTCGTGTGGATTGGTACGTATGTTGGATCACTGGATGGAATAATCTCTAGAGTGTTTACTTCTATTCCGATTTCTCAGATTAATTACTAGATTTTGATCCACGCTAAATGTGAGATTAAATGATTTTGAATATGTTTTTAATCGATTTTAATATTTAAATGTGTATAACAAAGCATATGATTTAATATCTATATACTTACAAAAAGAGTATGCATTGTGGATAAATGTAATAAAGATAAATTTTGATCCAACATATTTTGATGTCATTAGTTTTAATATTTTATATGTAAAATGGATCAAAACATATGAAAATGTTATTTATTTCAATATATTTTGAGTATAACATTAATTTTTATTATTCGTGTAAATTATAGATCATGCGATAAATCAGATAAATTTTAGAGTTATATGAATTTGTCGAACATAACAAACGAAAAACATTGTATCTTTTCCAATAATAAGATATGTAAATATGTGTAAGTGTAGTTATATATATAGTAGACTATCATAATTAACATATTTGTATATATCATATTAATCTAAATATATATATATATCCACAATAAATAATATTGTTACAAATATAATAATAAAAAATTTTAATATATAAAAAGAAAAAAATAGATGGTATGGTAAATTTAAATTTTACATTTAGTTGGACTTAGATTTGTAAAACATGTGTTAATGAGTTTATGTTATAAAATTAATAAGAGTATGTAGAGATTTCTACCATGACATGTAGTTTTCATTGAAATGTTCTTATTGGTTAATTTAAATGACATGTTCCTTAAAATTTTCATTGTACATATGATTTTTTACCTTAGTGTCTCTTCAATTAATATATAAAGGATGATATTAAAATCTCCACTCAGATCATAGTTTTTTTCAAGTGATGGTTTATTCTGTATACAATTTAACTTGTAATATTTGTTAATCCATTGTCTACCTAAATATTTTTTATACGGTTATGTTCAGTATTGTTAAAAAAATGCTATAAATTTAAGGATTATGTAGACTTGCATCATACCAGAATTCGCTCAACTCAAACGAAATAAGTAATATGGAATGAAAAAATGGAAAATAGAGAGAGATAAATAAAATTTTGAGAGTGAAAAAGAAAATTAAGAATACTTTTCGGTTAACAGAAAAACCTAAAGCTTAAAATTTAATTAGGTTATAAGTTAAATGTCTAACTAAAAAAAAAAGTTATCTTAAATAATATTTTAAGATTTTTCAAAATCAAAACTATGAGAAACTGCCATGTGACAACTACTCTTTTGACATTTTTTTTAATTCATTTATTAAAAAGAAAATAAAAATTAAATATCTTTTATTAACTTTAGTAATTAATTCTAACAATTTAATAGCTAAATCCTATGTAAATTAATTCAACAAATTACAATTAAGTGTTTTGTATATATTTATGCAATTCTTATGTAAATTACTATATTTTAATGTAAATTTAGTATAGAAAATATATATTTTATTTATCAAATGCAAAAATATTCTATACAATTTTTTTTCTTTTTTAACTTTTATATAGTTAACTGTGAACAATTAAAAAAATCACTAACGAAAAGC